TTGTACGACAAATTTCTTGTATTAAATATAAAAATCATTAGAAATTGTATTTTTGAAAAATACAAGTGGATGTTAATTTTCTTGTAACTGCAGAACTGCAAAATTCTCTAATTAATGATTTGAGAGTTTGAAGACGATGAGCCATGTGGCTTAAATTGTGGACTTTAAAATTTGTTGAAAACTTGATTTGTTGGGAAGTTGGCTTATTGGACACTTGAAATTCGAGGCTTGAATTTGCAATTCAAGATTTGGATTTGAATTTGATTTAATTTGGAGAAGATTTTGATCTTCTAGACTTGTCTTGGATTTGCTTGAATTTGAAAAAAACATCCATCTTCTTAGTGTTTCTGGATTTAGGCTTGAAAGAGTTTCTCCTCTTTCACCGATTTTGGAATTTCTTCTACACTTGTCATTTTTCGTGCACTTTTCACTTACGAAACTTTATGGACCTTTGGTCCTATTTATAGGAAAATTCGTAACTAATTTGGTAATCATCCAATTATCTTTAATTAAAAAGAATAATTGAACAATTATGAATTTTGAAAAAGTAGGCCGGGCCTTTAAATTTTATGAACCTTAGAGGACCTTAATTTAATAAACTTAATTGATAGTAAACTTAATTAGGCTATTTATTTAAATTGACCCAACCCATTATTATTATTATTATTATTATTATTATTATTATTATTATTATTATGTCTACAAATACCCACTTCAAGATTTTTTTTTATTTATCATTAAAATAAATTAATAAATCTTGAATTTAAATTTAAATCATCATCATCATCATCATCATCATCATCATCATATACAATCCATAATTAATTTGATTTTGAATAGGCTTCCTATCTTTGATGGTAAGTTGGGTTTGAGTGAAACTTGATATCAACCTATTCATATAAACAAATTATGAGATTTGGAAACAAGTAGGTCGGCTTTGAACTATGCAAACAAAAGTAGAGAGAGAGAAAAAAGTTACTTTTGTTTTAAGTATACTAATGTGAAGTTCCACGGCCAGTTCAACAAACGACGTGAACTTAAACTCAGCATCCATAAAGCAGCGACATCTTTTACTTTTGATCCTTTTTGCCCTTTGTCGGAATTGCATATGCTTATCGTAAGTGAAGGCCACGAGAATATGGATGCTATCAAGTCTAGCTATTCTAACAACCATCTTTCCCTTTTGTGTCTTTCGTCTCACCATTCCCAAAGTATGGAGCTCATCCCAAGGGCAGTAGCTTCTGGAAGGATTGACAATAAGGAAATACAATGGAGAAGTGCACTCGTCAATCGTGAAGAGATTTCTTATCTTCCAAAGTTTTGGTTATAGTCTACTTGGATCCAAAATCTCCTGGTCAAGAGGAATCTTTGCAAGTTAGCTTCTATAGAGCTCTTTGAGAGATTTGGTGCTCAGATACTAACACTTTTGTGACTGCAAGTGATGAAATTGACATTTCCCTTTGGAACACCATGAGATTAGTGAACTTTCAATCATGGGTCATTATTATAAAGAAGTAGTCCCAAACCTTTCAGAGTTGATAGATGATTCCCCTAAGTCTTGCTTGTATCTTTTTAGTGTTTTCTAATTAATTACTAATGAGAAAGAATCTGACTGCATTACTCATGTTGTTTGGGTTGAATTCTGGTTTCGAGGAAATGGTTCATGGTTGCGTTCAAAATTCTCGACAAAACAAAGCTTATAAAAATACCACAAATTTAAATCCGTTCAAAATGCGTCAGTAGAGGTTATCAACAGAAATAAGAAGACCCGTGGTTGTAGATATGTCGAAAGATATTTTTCGTAGAGACCAAGATTATTAGAGTGAATTGTCAATATCTTTATCTATGGAAGAAGAGAAATAGTAAGAAAATAGCAGCTTATCTTTTTCTGTAGTTTTGTCGTTTCGTTCTTCCCTCCAGGAGAAATGTATGAGAGTTGAGACTTTCAAAACATTTTCTAAGATGGCTACCGGATTCACTTACAGCCTAATTCCGCCCATATTAGCAAGTATTTATGAGGGACTCACATGACCATCTAACTGTTTATCAAGTGGGACCTTGGCAAAATTTCACATTCATTTCCCCGAACACTTCTTTTTGCTTGGCCTGAAACTTATTTTGTCCATGGTATTTTTGATCATGTAGATAAGAATTATTAGCATCCTATTATCCGAACATATGAAGGCACTTTGAAAGCTTTCCAATCTTGGGAGATTAATGCCATTGATTGTCGGGACCTTATATATGAAAAAATGGATGTTTAAGACTTTTGCTGGAATCAATTTCCCCCACTGCCTCGTTCTAGAGTACGAGTGGATTATGTATCAAGTTCTACAGATACTTTAGAATTTATGATGAATATTTGATTTGGATTTGTTTCTTATTGTCGAGGATCTGCTACATTCATTCTTGAAGTGTATAATCTTCACAGGTTTACGAGACAACATGGCTTTAGGCAGAACTTCTTGGTTCACCAAAAAAGTTGGATATTATTCCCAATGTAGTCAACATGTATCGTGTTTGGTTATCTTTGACTCGAAAAATAAGTGGATCTATATGTCATATTTCAGAGTACTAATGAAAGTATCGAGCAGACAACTGTTGGATTTTTTTCGATTTCAAGTTTGATATGATTTTCTTTGTCCAAGCGGACAATAAGATCTTTCAGGACGAAACACTTCTTCACTGGATGGCTGTTGGTTTTGTAAAATTTACAATATTTAAAATGATCAGTCTTAACAACTTCCCCCGGCTTCTTGAAAACAATTTTCATTTTTCTTTTGTTGGAGAACTTCTTCAACAATGGGACCAGTTGAGTGTTCCCAATTTTTGTTTGGGCTTTGGTCGCATGGAAGAATTCAGCAAGTGTCTCTTCAATATGAATCATAGTTTTCTTTGTGTTTTTGCTTGCCACAGTTGATGCAGTGGTTGAAACATGAAAATTCTGAAATCAAAAGATTAGGGGACAAGAAGTCCTACCAGGCGTGTTAAGAAATTTGTATGACAAATTTCGTGTATTAAATACAGAAATTGTTACATATTGTATTTTTGAGAAATACAAGTAGATGCTAATTTCTTGTAACTGCAGAACCACAAAATCCTCTAATTAATTATCTGAGAGTTTGAAAACGAGGACCCACGTAGCTTGAATC